GCATCGTTATTCTAGTAACATAAAATGCCAAGCTCTTTAAACGTGTAATCTACAAAAAAAGTAAAATTATTTAAAGAATTATAAGTATGTAATGTTATAACGATGAAGTTAAAACTCTACTGGATCAAATTTACCCATCCTTTTTTATTCGTCTTGCTTTTACTTCCTGTTGTAAAAAACTCTCATAAGATCAGATAAAAAACAGCCTTCAGTCTCAAAAATTATCAGTTTTTAGTACACTTAATAAGTCTGCAATGACTTCATCTTATGTCGGAAAAACTATCGTTGAAAACAGTGTGAAATGATAATACCAGACTGCTGACACTGCAAATTTTTCATAAGATTTTTAGCCGCGGCATAGCGGCTCATAAAATGGCTCTGACTTTTTTTTTCAAGTATAAACATTTGGCTCCATCAATTGACCGATTTGAGGATCCTCTCTTCTTAACCCTCTCACTAATAAGTCTGTTAACCCTCTGACTAGTTAGCCTGTTAACCATCTGACTAGTAAGTAAGTTAACCCTCTGACTAGTTAGGCTGTTAACCCTCTGACTAGTTAGGCTGTTAACCCTCTGACTAGTTAGGCTGTTAACCCTCTGACTAGTAAGGCTGTTAACCCTCTGACTAGTTAGGCTGTTAACCATCTGACTCGTAAGTTTGTTAACCCTCTGACTAGTTAGTGCAAATGAGGACAAACCAAAGTAAAGGTTCTGAAATATCCAGTCACTGATAACTGTGTTCATTAGTAAACGGTTTAAAATGTAAGTCTTGAGAATACGTGGAAACAAGGAGGGATAGTTAGTCCTGTCTTATTCATTATGTATGTAAGCAATATGCACCTTATATCCAAATCTAGGTGGTTTTTTTTCAACAATTCGCTGACGATGTTGCAGTCTGGAAAAGTGCCCCTACTCCTTCAATTATAATTACTAAGATAAAAGAAACACCCCCTTTTTGTTTGTAATTCTTCATTTAATGATACCTAATATGTTATAAAAATAATAAATTGTATTTATGGTCAAAATTATCTTTTAAGTTGTATTGAAATATTGGCACTAGTTTGTTATGCGTATTGTGAAATCAGCCAGCATTCAGAAATGAACTGTATAAAAGTGCCTAAACTGAAGGGTTGGAGGGGACGCCGGCTCGTTACTGAGGAGCTTTCTCATTGGGCGATTAGACACCAGTAATTCGCAGATGTAATGGCTTAATTGTGGAATACTGCGTTTTCTTGTTGTTTTTTTCTGTTAACAACTAGTAGTGTTACCACTCCATACAGAGTGAAATTCCCCATGTAGGTAGCAATTTATTAGCTACAGATCATCAAGACGTCACTTCCGGCGTGAAAACTGTTGCATTTGCAAACTGCTTGGTAAATTTACTTCGATCAATGAAGCCGTTCATTTAATTTAAGGCATAAGAGTAACTCTACAGTTAAACCTAACATTGAATTGATACTATTAGTTTAAAGAATAATTTAAAATTAAATCTATAATAAGAAGTTGCGCCTAGTAAAATGTGAAAAATAAAAATGGTATCTCGTTTTGTTAGCTGTAAGCTCTAAATTTTGTAGTACTATGGAATGAGGCGAAAATTAACTTGAAATGTTGTAATTTGTTGAACAATGTTTAAAAAGAGATTTCGTAATTGGTTATAATTAGAAATGTAACTTTGGTAAGTTATGTTGACATACTTTTTGATTTAAAATTACATTTAAGCAACAGTAATAGGGTTATCTTGTTTTGAAAAATAAATCTTCAATTTTCATATGAAAGGCATGTGATATTTTATGTTTTCTAAAGCAGTGATGTAAGGTTTGATTTATAACTTTTTGCTTGTGTTTGTTCTTTTATTTTTTATACCTACTTTATCTCACCTCAGATTACTCCATTAGTGTTATCTTGATTTTCGTGCCCAAGTACAGCAAGCAGATAATATAAACAACAAAAACATTGTATTGGGAAATATTCTACCTCCAGACAAACAACACGTCCTAATTTGACAGTGTGAGTCACGTGATTACATTTCAAAGAAAAGATTGGTTCTCTAAGCTAGAAATATTATATATAAAATGGCATCAAGTAAGAAAAGCTATTTGTGTCATCTACAACAGAAGAAGGTAAGGGATTTAAAGCAAACTCTTCAAACTTTATTAAGATAGGTAATTTAAGTACTTTTGGTTGTGATGTTTAATTGTTTGTATTATTTATTTAACAGTCATGGCTGTGATACACTCCATCATCCGTTTCACGAAACGTTACTTGTAAGAAAAGACAAAAACAATTTTAATCAGATTCTCTTTTGTTTTTTTCAGTATAGTATGACTGAATTATAGAATTTACCGTTTTACGACATAGGGTATTGAATTTCTCCAAAATACATGTACGTTTCCAATAATTAGCCGTTTTATGGTTTGACCGTCACATAAATAACACCCCCACGGCTGAACGGGCGAGCATTTGTTGGTTTTGTTTTGTTTTTAATTTAAAATGTGTAAAAAGTCCACACAGTCTGGTTCAATTATTTTATAACCCAATTAACAAGACGAATTATTTCTTCTCTCCTCTGTTATCACAATACAATTAGTGATAAATTCATTTATGTTATATCATGGATTACCACAGTTGTATCCAGAGCTATAATTAGAACAATTCTAATAACAATCATTAGTTATCAGTTTGGATTCATTGCCTCTATAGCTCTAGGATTAGTGTATATTTTAAAATACGCGAAAAGGATAAATATCGCTAACTTACTTACTTCCTTTGTGTATCTGCACATATTAATACATAACCCAAATTACAACACAAGCTGTGAAACGCTCACTTTAGAAATTGCCTGACAATCATGCAGTGTAACTTCACTTTCGCTAACTTACTTACTTCCTTTCTGTATCTGCACATATTTTTTAACATGCGACAGAAAAATCTAGAAATGTCTAGCCTTCTAGTAACAACATGACACATAACGTGAAAACTTAGAAGCTTCGAGTCAGACGACGTCAACAATATTACATGAGCCTACCTAGTACAACAATTAAACTGCATACACAACGTACGACTCTTACATAGTTACGTAACGAAACTTGTCATAACTATCGATTTTAAAATAATTAACTTTTAACACTCTTGTTTTGAATACTTGTTGTTGTCGTTCGTTATTAAGCACAAAGCTACACAAAGGCTATCTGTGCTCTGCCCACCACTTGTAATGAAACCCGGTTTCTAGATGTATAAGTCCGCAGATATAACGCTGTGCTACTGGGGGCGTTATGAAAACTAAATAATCATTAAATATTAAATTATTAAATAAACTGAATAATAACTCTTAAATTGAACAGTCTTGTATATCAAACAGGAATGTGTGTTTACTTTTAAGGATAACAACGTATAGGAAACAACAAGTGATACAAGATGACACTCTCGTTCTGAGTTGAGTTATACCAAATGAAGTCTGAGAAAGGGAGCGTGACCAGATAAAGAAGAGACGGATATTTTTTAATTATCATTCAATGTCCATTCGTTTTCAATCATATTTATTTATTTACAACTCAAAAGAAGTAGGCAGCTCCGTCATCAAAGTATGTGCAGTTTGGATTCATTGCCGTTATAGCTTTAGGATTAGTCTATATTTTAAAATACGCGATAAAAATAAAGATTGTTGACCATGGTCACTAAGCACCCGTATTTCAGCACCCAATCCAACGTTCTCTACTGCACTTGTCGGGCTGTTTTTGTTGAAGTTTTTTTTACCTGAACAGTGAATAATAGAGAAATAGAGGTTATTTTGAAAGCGATTTTACAGCAGAGTTTACATTTTTTGACAATCAAATTTTACAAATATGTGCACACTGAACCTTCCTCTTTACAGTCATGCCACTGAAAAAGAATACTTCACCATTTGTTTTATTGCTCGACAAGGATTGGGTGTATTGAAAATTTTGAAGTTTTCTGGAACACTGCACGTGGCTCTAAAATGAAAAGTATTCAAAGATAGTGAAGGAGATATTAAAATTGTAATTAGATGTATTTCTAATATTTTTAGTTTATTAACATTTTTTAGATATATCATATCAAGGAAAAAAGAAACCAGTACAAAAACACATTAATGCTATGAAGAAAAAGAAAAGAAACAATTAAAATGTAATGAAATGCACATACGCAAGTAGAAATATTGGTACATAACTGAAACCTAGCATGATGCGTACAGTAATGAATTTGTTCAATTATATGGGGCTTACTCCGTCATTTTCTGGACTAATGATGATATAGTTTGTATCTGTGAGGCGTTGCTGCTGTTTTGTAGAGCCCAAATTTTTGATTGACCAGTTGAGTCTTCAAGAGAGTTAGAAGAAGAATAGGGGTATTTGTTTGTTTATAGGTAAGCACAAAGCTATACAATGGGCTATCTGTGATGTGCCCACCATGGGTATCGAAATCTGGCTGTTAGCGTCATAGACCTTCAGACTTACCGCTAAGTCACTCGGGGCGAATGATAATAGAGCGAAAAATAATTATTATCATTATTACCGTATTAAATATTAATAATGAGTAAGTAATTTGTTAATTCACAGAATGATTGATTATTACTATAATATTAGTCTGTTTTCCGGTGGGTCAGCGGTAAGTTTACGAACTTCCAGCGCTAAAATCCTGGGTTAGATTTCCCCTGGTGGACAGAGCAGATATACAATTGTGGATTTACTCTAACATACATTTTGTTGTTGTTGTTACCAGGCAACTAGAATACAGTTATCCATGCCGTTTATCTACTTCTCGTATTAATTTGTATCACGACGTCGTTGTTTTTTTATTTAGGATGTTAGCTGTGGATTTTCATGTCTTTATTTCATATATATTTTTAAGATCAAGGCTGGTGATTAGCTGTCTGTCTATATGCTGCTTTTGTCTCTAAAATACCATTATTATTGTTATTTTAATAGACTTTTATACATTGCTACGATGAAGTTTTTAGTATCCGTGTTCATTGATGTTCTTTTACTCTGCTGCGTGATTGGTGTACGATCGGGTGAGTAATATATATTTTTTAATTAATCCGTTTTGATATTTATTTTAATTCTAGAGTACAGAAAGTTCTTGTGTCAGTTCTGCAAAAGGCACAGTTCTTTATTAAACTCTAAAAGTTTAAGCCATGGTATTTTTACAAGAATTATTCAAAATCACATATTTTAAATTATATTTTTCATTCAAATACACCTGTACTCGCGCGTGACAAAAATATTTGTTTATAAATATTATAAAGGCTTAACCCTTGGTATTTGTCTCAACACTAATGATTTCAGATATATTTCGTTATTTAGTTAACCTGATTACATTCAAATTCTAAACGCTGTTTTATATAGTTTTTGTATTGTAAAATTCTACCATTTAATTAATATTAAGATAAACACGCAATCATTGTGTATACCAAAATTTTTTTGTTAATTCGATGTTTATCGACCTGCTAATAGATAAGTTGCTTTATTTTAGAATGGTGTTTCGGAGGTCGTGCTGTCCTTTGAAATGCTTTGATTGTACTCGGTCTGACTGTCATGATTAGCTACTATTGCCTGGCACCATATTAAATATTCAAACTATAAAGTCCGACTAACTGTCAGTGTTGGGATTTTTTTTTGATAAATATGTGAAACACGTGAACACTGTTAATTTTTAGTAACTCTTTGAGTGATTTGTTTATTAACCAATTTCCAGTACATTACCCTAAAATTCATGGCGGTGGAGTTTTAAAAAAAACGGACATGTTTGTTGTGTCAAACTCAGAGATATAATTCCTGGTAATAATAATAATTAAAAAAAAATTAACATGCTCTCAACATATGGATGCTCATAATGACAAGATGGGACTATATTCAAGTCGTAACTGGTGTAGACTGATGGAAGCTGCCGTTTGTCCCAATGTTCATAACTGTCATTTTGCCAAATGCGTGTAATATTGGCATTTCAAAATTAAGAACAATATATATATATATATATATCTGTTATCTCATAATCTTTGAACATTCTAGTGAGAAATGGTCATGATTTTAGGGGTTTAACAAATAGTTGCCTTCGGTATCGAAAAACCTTAACTTCTTTTCAAACTTTGACAGTTTGTGGTTCACAGATTTGATAGTACAATGTATTATACTGTGCATCTTCACTGTAACTCTCAAAGTGAAATCAACGTTGTTTCAACTTGCTTTAATATGTTTTTTTAGCTACCCATGTAATTAGCTTTTTACTGAATACTGGCGATAGATATTTACTTTCTACGGTCCATTCACATTTTTGATTAACAATGTTATTTTTTTTGAAAGTGAAATATTAATCAAAGTTCACTTTTATCCCTTTATTCAGAATGGAAATGTCCGAAATGGCCATACTTCTTTATAAATCCTTGTCCCAATGGTGTAGACCCTTCCTCTGTCTGTAACACGAATTACGACTGTTTTGCCTATTGGCAGTTATGTTGCTGGGACTGGCGTGACTGTAAGAAAAAGTGTACCATAAGTCTCCCGTCATCCAACAGCAGGCGTTGATGTGTTTCACATAATTCCTTAAACTACCTGTAAGAGACTAGATTTCATAAGATATCCGGAGTTTCAGATATGATATGGCATAATGCTTATACTAGTGTAGTGCTATATAAGCCTACTGTGACTGACTTTCAATGGTGTTTTGTACGTCTTGCTGTTCAATAAAGCATTCATTATGTGACCGTCAAAATATTCGTTTACTGAGGAACTATGTGTAAATATCTTACCTGTGCATTGAGAAAACCTCTCTCCACCCATTCTGACATACAAACATAAAAAAACTAAACATCAATGAAAATGTTACCTAGCATTTTTCCTTTATTTTATATAAAATCTGTAATCTTCTGCTTTAACAAGCTGTTCACTTACTATATATAAAGCTTGCAGTAACTGTTTGACACACAAGTTTAAACAGTGTTAAACTAAAACTTTTAATTCAAATATAGCTTCTGTCAGGACGTTAGAGGCGTTTTTATATATCATCACCCTCTTTTTTCTTTAGTGGTCAGTTTTAGACTATCTTATTATTTCGTCATACTTACTGAACAATAAAATAACTTGAATTTTAAAGTTAAGTGTACTACTAATTGAATTTTATAAAAATGACTTGCAGAAAGACAGGGTTACGTTATAAACAGAACTCGGTTACTTAAATATGGCGTAATATATATATTGAAGTTTTAATCACTTTAAGATACTAGAAGTATTCAACCGTTTACTGAGACTTTTTCTTCGGCCACGAATGCATTCTATGCTACAGCTTACTTTTTATAACATCGCAAAAGTGTGATTTCGTCATGTGAGAAGTTTTCTTATACAATATGACAGCCAGCGTTTAAGTTAGACGCAAAATATAAATGTATTTTGATTGTGTAAAGATTGTCTTCTGCTTCCTGAATTTCCTTCTTTTTTTCAAATATAATGACTTTACCAAAATTTTTGGTAATATTCAATTTTTAAAAAAATTTAAGGCCCTTAATAAAAGAAAACTTCAAGGACTCGTACAAAATTGGTTGTTGAAAAGTTATGGAAAATCTTTGGAATTTTATTGAGAAATGAGGGCACTAATCTTACACAAGGCAGATTAATCAGCATCGGTTTGGTTCGGATGTTGTTGTTACACAATGGGCTACTTGTGCCCTGCCCACCAAGGGTATTAAAATCCAATTCATAACGTCGTAAGCTTGCAGAGTTAACGATAATATGGAGTGGGATTTCTTTTGCTCCTATACCCCAGTGGGATAGTTGGAAGTTTTCGGACTTGCAACGCTAAAATCTGAGGTTCGATTCCCCGCAGTAGTAGTTTTGCTCTAAAACAAGCAAACAAACAACAACTTTTACTCTTATTGTTGCAAATCGATCTATTTGGTTGAATTTGTTATACAGAACTTTGTTGTTTTATGAATTTCGCGCAAAGCTACACGAGGGCTATCTGCGCTAACCGTCCCTAATTTAGCAGTGTAAGACTAGAGGGAAGGTAGCTAGTCATCACCACCCACCGCCAACTCTTTTACCAACGAATAGTGGGATTGAATAGTTGGTTGGTCCTTTATATATAAAGGAAGGTTTGGCAATATAAATTAGGAAATTATTCTGAATGAACTAAATGAAGAAGGTTTTCGTTGGAAGTTCAGAGAAGTCCAACTTGATACAGGATAAACTGTATTTCAGTTTGTGGCATGCCTACTGCAATACTTCACAAGATGGACTGACATGGCCAAATGGGAAAATAGTTTTGAGTGACTAGCAGATATACTAATACATGAACAGTTCGTGGTCATGTGCTCATCTGACACGTCACTCTCCTAAAGGAGAGAACACCGAAAGATGTGGACGAGATGATCAAGCTGGCAGAACAGTATATGGAAGCCCATGAAGGGAGTATAACTGGAAAGTCCAAGAATATCCAGTTAAAGTCGAAACCAGTTGTGGCTGACCAGAAGCAGAAGTCCACCAAAGGTGACAGGAGGTTAACAAACAAATGGGAGAAGAGATCATATAGTTGTTATAAAATAGGGCACATTGTAAAGGAGTGCATGTCCATCACCAACAGGCAGCAGCAGAACTATCAACATAAAGCAGCTGGACTAACCTACAAAGATGGTGCTGGCAAGAAACAAGAGTGACTGTCCCAATGGATGCAACTGCCAGAAGAAACAGAATCAATAATACACAATAGATTCACCCCAAGAATGAAGTGTCATTTCCATGATTGGTCAGTGTACGACTAATGATTAGCTAAAGTTAGCAAATGGATCAACAGCACAAGTAGTGATTGGAGCATGTAATAAATATTGAGAGGTGACAACAAATCACAACATGCTAGTAGGTCAAAGCTATGTCGGGGACAAGAAAGTGAAGGTCCTACAAGTAGTACAGCAGTGAGGATCAGTCTAGTATCTGATTACCAGATGACAGGAAAAATATATCTGTGCATGCTAATTGATGGAACATTAAGAAAGTTTCTCATAGCAAGAATAAAGGCGGACATTCTATACTAAGTGGGAGACCTTCAGGTCATGTGTATGAAGGTACCCATCATTGACTTGGTGACTGGAAATATACCAGGCAGTAGAAGTTCGTAAGAACCAAACAGAAAGAAGATGGGCTAGAGCTCAAGAAAGAAGAGCAAGCAAGACATAGCAAGATGTAATAAACTTGCTCAGAGTTAATGGAGTCTTAAAGAGCATGTTGAACAAGATGTGCCAAGAGAGCGACCCTGTGATATGGGCAGGTACCTGCAGGCAGTATTATTTACTTATCAAGAAGTTCCACAAGCAAATACAGGATTTTCACACTTTGAGTTACTGTACGGAAGAGCAGTATGAGGTCTGATGCAAATATTGAAAGAGCTATGGACAGGAGAACAAGAGTCAGAAGTAAGGAACATATATCAGTACGTGTTAGACCTCAGACTCTGACCAGTCAAATCGCTCGAGAGAGCCTGTATGCAGCTCAAGGCAGTCAAAAGCATTTCTATGATAAGAAGGCCAACGATCTACATTTTAAGGTCAGGCAGAATTTATTAGTTCTGCTGCCAACAGACAACAACAAACTGACCCTGCAATGGTAAGGACCTTTTGAAGTACAGAAAGTTCTCATCTAAGTGCTGCTTTGGCTATTCTGGAATTTGTTGGACCCAAGGTGGGCAATGAACAGATAGCAATGGAAAAGGTAACCTACATACAAGATTCACCAGCTCCAATGACCAAGCAATAAGTTGGATTCTTCCTAGTGTTAGTGGGTTACTATAGGAAGTTCATCCCAAAACTATGTTGAAGTAGTTGTACCATTGACCAGAAAAGGCCTACCTAACAAAGTGAAGTGGGAACAACCATAACAGATAGCATTCCAGTAGTTAAAGAACATGTGTTCACCATTCAGGCCCATGCTTCAGACATTGGAACTGTGGGAATAGTACCTCTAGAATTAAAGCTTCTGTATTGAAGCCATGAAATGGACTGCAAATTTTGGTGCAGACTTTATATATGAACTGAGAACAGTCTTTGTATAAAGTGTAAAAAAAATATATTGTAAATATTTTTCTTGAAGAGGGTTTAGTCTTGGATATACAGGACTGTTTAGTGCAAGAGTTCATATTTAATTTATTTAGTGATTTAATATTTAATGATTATTTAGCTTTCATAACAAGTGTTGAAAGTAATTATTTTAGAAACGATAGTTATGACAATTTTTGTTACGTAACTCGGCAAGAGTTGTGTATATAGTTCAGTTGTAGCTGATGCTTCACACATTGGAACTGTAGCAGTACTCCTACATAAACATGAAGATGGATCGTTTCCAGTAATGTATGTAAGCAAAAGGTTATTGAGTAGTGAAAAGAACTATTCTGTGATTGAAAGAAAGTGTCTGGCCATTATATCTGCCATCCAAAAGTCCCAGAACTACCTGTATGGGAAGGAGTTCATCATCCAAATGGACCATCAATCATTTCTATACATTCAAGGTTGCAAAATTGACAGTGCAAGGATCATGAGGTGGGCGTTGTACCTCCAGAAGTATAGGTTCTGTATTGAAGCCATCAAGAAGACTGCAAATGTTGGTGCAGACTTTGTGTATGAACTGAGAACTGTATTTTTATAAAGCGTAAAATAAAATATATTGTGAATATTTACAAGATTGTTTAGTGTAATAGTTCATATTTAATTTATTTAGCAATTTAATATTTAGTTAGTTTTCACAACAAGTGTGTTAAAAGTAATTATTTTAGAGGTGATAGATATGACAAATTTCATTACGTAACTCAGTAAGAGTTGTATTTTGTGTGTGTGCATAGTTCAGTTGTTGTGATTTCGTGTCACCTTACTCCAACCTTCTGTATTTTTTTCGTTGTCTTAAGTGATTGTCAGTTTAACCATAACAGGCAATATTTTAAACTGACTTTCACAGTTTAATAGATATAAGGAGAATAATTTGTCTTGTAAAAGAATGTTCTAAAGTAAATGAACACATCTGTATGGCCTTTGACTAAAAGGAGACAATTACTTGAAGTTCGGAATACAACTGCGGTAACCCACGAGGTAATGTGAATTTATCACAGATTGTGTAGTGAGAAAAAGAGATAGTGAAGAATAATTCATCTTGTAAATTAAAGTAACTGAACTAGCCTGTGGACTTTTAACAAGGAAAGAGAATTATTTAGAGTTTTAGAAACAATTGTGATATCCTATAGGCTATAGTGTAAAGAATTTTGGACTTGTTTTGAATATATTATTTTAAAACAAGTGGATTGTGTTCTGTCTTTTTATTGTTCATATTTATCACCAACAAGTCACAGACACCTAATGTAAAAGAATTCCAGCCCTATAAAATGGGCAATGCAAAAACAAATTGCATCACCATATGAATCAAAATATTCCTCAGTAATAACAAATTAAAACAATATTTATGGTAAATGTGCTGCACAACCTTCATGTTTTTTTTTAAATACAGCCATTACTAACTGTCATTTAAAATTTTTTTTTAAAGTGCTTTTATTAGAAAAGCATTTTTACTTGAAATGTGTTTAACTTTAATTGTTAAATTTGTCTGCAAAAAATTATTTAAACTTAATTACGAGATCTTTAAGTGTTTGTATATGTGTAAAAACCTATAATATGATTAAATAACCAATTTTTCTGCAAAGGTGAAAGAGGATATTTTTTTTGGCTATTTACTTTTATAGTCTACATATGCTAAATTCAAGGTAAGACAATATGAGATTTAGGCTAATACAAATACAGACAATAATGTAAAAACCACCTCTGCCAGTAAACCATTTACATGGGTAGTCTTTTGGATTAAAAAAAAAACTGTCAAGAAATGCAATAACTATAACAGAAGTTATGTAACTATTTAATGTTTTTACACAAATGATCCATCACAAAAATGTACAGGATGAAACACCGTATTGACTTTGACAAACTGACACTGCTAAAACACAACAGAAAATGTGTGAAATATTTGAATAAATTTTTCAGAATACAAAAAAAAACAAAAACATTAATAAAATCTGTCTCGATAGCTTCTTCCTCTGCCTCGGGAAAAACCCCTACCTCTTCCTCCTCGAACACCAGAAGGTGCTGAAAAAACAAAAAAAAATTTCATAAAATAATTAAAACTCTAGGAATAAAAGTTCATAAACATGTAACATAATTTCTTGTACGAAAGTGAGAGAAAGAAACTTAAATCCTTGTTTTTAATACCATTTGAAGTAACGATATCAACCCCCTACTAACAGATTTACATAATAAGTATATAAATTTTGTCAAACATTTTATGCTAGTTTGAACAAAACTCAAAAGCGAAAGCCAAAAGATGAAACTCTGTGGTGAAGCCAAAAGCTATTGAGTGTATTTAGGATTTACATGCATTTTAATAACAAAAATATAATTTTCAAAAAAATTGTTTACACACACACATATATATATAATTCTAAAAAATGATATAGATTATTAAAAATGTTACATTTACAGAGCCATTTATACATCCAAAACAGAAAATTTAAGAACGATAATGAATTTACCCCCTTATGTTGGAAATCCTCTGTTTAATTCTCTATGTGTCAGCCGGTATTTTCATAAATGTATACATAATAGATTTAATGGACTAGTGGAACTTTTTTATGAAATTTATCTTCTTTTTTGTGATGTTGATTTTTTAAAAAGGAAAATGTTTTATCATTTATTTTTAGTCTGTACAAAGTTTTGTTCTCTGTGTTGGTTTTTGTTTCATTTCATGTTATAGTTTTATTATGAAGAGTGTCTACACACATGAAACTCCCAAGAAATTAAAAGGACGAAAATATTAAAATAATAATTTATGCTTTGTCAAGACACAAAAATAAAAATAGCACGAGACACAAAATTACAAAAGGCACCATGTTTAGAGTTATAAAACTGTGCAATAGCACCCACATGGTGTTGGGAATATCCCATTTCTTTCATTATCTACCAAATAAAGTCAATTTCAAATGTTTTAATGCACACATTGCAACTAACATTGTTTTTGGTTACACCGCTACATACAAGCCAATCTGCATATTCCAGTTTATCAAGCCATGAGGCATTAAATGTGAATTTCCTGCCATGCATAGCTTTAATTTGTTTTAAGTGTTTGGTCAAGTGTTAAGCATGATAAATCAATGCTTTGTTAAGTTTCAACAAACTCACAAACCGCCATTTTTTAAAATTGCATTGCACATGCGTGAATCATTAATTACAATAACACAGACAGCATTTGATTCGATAACATTTCTCACGGCCTATGCATTATATATAAGGGGCCTACATTATAACAGTTATAGTACACCCATGTGTACATAACTACGTAAAATATTTTAAATATTAATTTCTTATGTTTATGTGAAACGAACAGACAAAAAAAATAATAATAAATTAAATTAGTAAGTTATTTCAGGAGCATGTTAGTTTTGCATGACTTTCCAGGAATTCCAGGAAGTGTACAAAGTCTACAAATGTGATGACATGCCCTTTGACTTTGGAATAAAGGGATAAAGCAGGTTTAAATTTGTTAATTGGTAGAAAACGTAACATATGTAAAGGTACTACCAATAAAGGATATTAAACATGCATTCATTACTGGAGTCAGTATCTGAAGAGGTAAAACAATGGGACAGTGTGAACATTAATTAGACATATTTGCATTTTCATAAATCAGTAAACTTACTTACCTTGAAAGTTCTTCACTTTAGTGCTGTACTTCCCACTAGGAGGTATGTAAATTTCCCTCTCTCCTTTGTTACTCGGTACTGTCTTCTTTGCTTGTTTGGGGTTTTCATCAAAAGTAATGGGTGTTCTTTCTGACCTCTTTGGGCTATTGAAAAAATAATCCTACAGTAGTTAATATTTCCCTATACTGAAAATAAATTTCTGATAGATAATTACCTCCTCTCACATAATAGCTTTTCTTGTTCAGTGCTGCTCTCTATATGTGCAAATTGTTTCGCTCGCCACTAGCCTTAAAACTCCCACATACTCCATGTTTCTATGTGGTTCAGCTGCATTGTAGACTGCAAATAAATGTGACAACCCTCAAGCAATAGGAGCATTACACACACTCCTGTTTCAGTTGGCTCCCTCTTTACTGTAGAACCCAATCTTCACTTTGAGACTAGACAGAAAAGAAGCATCAGTAGGGAGGAAGTGTGAAAGGAGGTAAGTATCGTTCGGCCATACATTTTCAGTATAAGAAAATATTAACTTCCGATTCAATATCTTACCTATTTTCACATAATAGATAGAATTCCACAGTGACGTGGTGGAGGGAATGATGCAAAACATACCTAGGTGAGCATCCTTTAGAGGGCATCCAAAGAATGCCATTGAACCAAATACACTCTTCATCCTCGATGAAGGAATGTGTCCCAGGTATAGAGTGGATAGGGCATGTCAACTCCAGTCCAAAACCAGTGGAACCGAGAATGGATCATTCCATCCACTGTAAGAGGAGGGTCCACAACCATCTTTATCCAGACTGTAAATGGGAGGTCAGCAGCACCAAGATTGGATCAATTGGCCCACTATAGGAGTAGGGTCCTCAACCATGTAGTATTGGGAATATATCGTGTAATCCATGGTAGGAGGAGGGTTCCAGCCCACTCACATGTGAGGACTAATTGTGACTGGTCCAGCTCCAATTGCAATTGATAGAAAAATCCAGTCCAAAAACCATAGCATCTGGAGTAGTACATCAGAGCTATGGTAGAAGAATAGTCACACTATCAACACCGGCAGAACATCACTGCCCTGCTCTCAACTAAGTGGGATAGAGCATACTCAGGAGGAAGCCTTGATGGTCCACCACCCCAGCAACTAAGAGTTGGTAAGTTGTAAGGACTCCCATACTCAACTGGAAGAAGTGGCGATAATAGTGTGGTGGATAGTCTGGAGGAATGCAGCACCAGAGAAAGTGTAATGGGTGACTGTGAAACCCTATTTCTAAAAACAGAATGGTTTATGAATTCAAACAATTGAAAAAGCAGCAGGGATGAGCAGCAATCCCCTTCTGCTTTACTCATGTAGGTTTATGAGTGTATGGTCCAGGAAAGACACATTTATAACACAAAACACCATGAGGAAGAACTTACAGAACACCTCATTTCAGTGGTGGATGTTATTGACCATATAGTACAGATTTAAAAAGTATACCTGGACAGGCATCACTTGCCATAGAATGGGATCCAATATAGAAAAACTTTGTGACCCTGTAAGAAAAAAGAAAGAAATCAATAAACATACCACCTCACAGTCGTAATACGGCTAAAGGCATAATGCAATATCCAGATTAGGACGAAATGGCCACCCGATGGGGCCAATGGGAGATGAACATGCTGGGTATGGTCCATCTGTCAACCTGGATGATTTCCCCTAACTGACCATGTAGATGGGCAGCCAGGGAAAGTTAAGATGTCTAAGCTGATCTGACAACACCTATAAAAATCTGTCAGGGTGGGGAGTGAAACATAACTTAGACAAGAAGGGTTCCAGTGGAAGGAGGGAAGCCACTTGGGCAATATAAATAGTAATAGTCATCACTACTGAAGTAGTGGTAATAAAAAAAAATTCAGAATTCATGTTCAGCTAGAGTGAAGTTCGAAATTAATAAACAATGATATTATCACAAAATGAATCAAAAAATAGCTTAGTTGTTTAATACTCTGCATAAAAAATAAACATAAATTAAAGTAAAAGCACAAGTAAAAATTAACACTATTGAGCCAAATAGAAAAGTGAAGATTAGGTTCTACAGTATAGAGGGAGCCAGCTGCAACAGGAGAATGTGTCAAGCTCCTATTCGTGGAGGATTATCACATGCTTATTTGCATCCTACAACACAACTGAACCACATAGAAACATGGGGTAGGTGGGAGTTTCAATGCTAGTGGTGAGCAAAACAATTTGTGCATATAGAGGGCAGAACTGAACAAGAAAAGTTATTATGTGAAAGGAGATAAAATATTGTATCAGAGTCCAATATTCGTTCAAGAACAAAAAACACTTATTATTTTATTGCTGGGTAGGTTGTAGGGATCCAGGAATCTCACATATTATCTTCCTATACCTATAACAGAGAATCTACTTAAATGATAGATAAAAATCTGAAAATACCTTTAATGAAAATGCTATTCCTTATTTATCAATATGCAGTAATTTATATTTTCAACACAATATAATACTACACAAACATTTTGGCATTTCAAATGTTTGCACAAATCTACAAAATGGGCTATCTGTGCTGTGCCCATCAGATAGTTATCTCAAACATGTTAAGACAATTATGTTGTCAAGTTTCCACCATGGATAACACAATAACTTGTGAAAAGAGATGCAGAGGAGTTTAAACCTAATTATTACTGTAAAAAAAAACCAAAAAAACAAGAGGCACAGACTTTAAAAATACTTCCTATTATCTTAGAATTTCCATTTTGTATAGTCATTCAATTTTAACTCGATCGAGTTTTATCAACATATTGCTTTTAAAATTTATTATGCCACTTGTAACAGTCACTACTTTTGGTTATAAGTTGTAAGAAAATGCTGCATAAACTAACAAATATTTATCTTTGACTTAAGGCCTGAACTTTTAAAATATTGTCAAGATCGCTACTGTACTTTAAATGTAACAAGGCTTACCCTACATGAAGTCTTGTCACAGAAAATTGCTATAACTTTCAAATAAATATAATTTAACACAACAAAATTTTCAAAAATGGAAAAGAATGTATAAAAAACTCCCAGATCTGTAGTTTGTTCTTAAGTGTTCTAAATTCCACTGTTCTTTTCTGCAGTAATTACATTTAATCACTTTCTCGTGAAACCATAAATTACTTCTCACACCACTTTAATCACCTTACACTGACATAAATAGTGCATAATTTGCTTTATCTAATGGTATTTCAACTTTGCTTGTCACTATGTTCAGAGCCATTTTTCATTAGTAGTTGTTCCCAGCCTTTTTATGACCTCACAAATTTGTAAACATGATATGCAGTGTGCACTCCATGTAGAATTGTGAATCTGAAGATGTATGGTTTAAGTTTCATTACCACACACACACACACACACAAAAAAAAAGTACTCCACACTTTTGGGTCATGGGTGCATTAAGAATGTTGGTCATATTATACTTTTCGATTTGAGTAACCCAAAAACCTATATTGGGTGAATTGTGACTAGCTGCTTTCCCTGTAAACTCTTATTTCAAAATTAGGGACATATAGTGCAGATAGCCTTTTTGTGACTTTGCATGAATATCCTAAACAAACAAGAATTTTTAAACCTCCACACCCCTTACTAAACTGCTGAGAAACTTATTACAAAATTATTTTTTCAAGCTTTGTACATTCTGGACAATACTGATAAATTGGTAAATAAAAAAGCTTTTTATATAGAGAAGTTTTTAAATGTGAAGATCATTATAACATCTTCTAGAAGCATTCATTTCTAAACATATATCATATCACCTTTGGCAAAAAGAAACACTCTCATATGTGACTTTCATTCTATCATTATACATTTATATATACAAATTAATATTTATTTAACAACTTACCCACTGGGAGTAGATTCAGGTGTCTTCTGAAATACATAAATTGGCCTTATTAAAACAAAATATCATTATAAACCAGATCAAGAACCACACACTAGAACTTAGGAAAGAAGACCAACCATTATTGCCCTTTTTCAGTTAAGGTTCTACTTACTTGGAAGCTAACTTGTTTGTTTTTCAATGGCTGTTACCAACAACATTTCTCTTTCATTATTATTTTGTACCTTAGAGAACTGAACATTTTATTTGCAAAAAAAAGTAAAAACAAGTGCATGCCAAAGTAGTGTCACTGGAAATATAGGCTAATGAACATTTGTTCAGTATTTGTTGAAAAACATGACAACATTCAGTTAGCAAAAACCAAAAACTGTGTGTGCATTAATTACAGAGTTCTACCAATATTTCTAAGAAGCAAGACCATCATTAAAAGAACCCTTTAATTTTATTTCAGATAACAAGCATTTTAATGTATAATGCCAATGCCAGTGACACATAAATACATATATTGATTAGCATTAAACCACAAAGTAAACAGACACAATTATTTTTGTAAGATAAAACTTTTACTGATTGGAAATTACATACTGGTGTGAGGAATCTTTGTGACACTTCTGTTTGGTCAGCAAAACACCAAAATTTACACAAAAAATAATAAACATATAGCTTCAGAGCATTAATATGCAAGAATAATCTGATATCCAAGTTAAAAACTGAAATCAGTGCCCGAGATGAAAAACGAATAACATAAGCTCTTCAAACAGTGTGTTACATATTGTTTAAAGGAAATATATGATAAGTACATACTGTTGTTGAGCTGCTTGGCACCTTCCAAGACAAAGTAATTGTGCTCTTAAAGGACGGAGGATTGTGAAACAGATCTCTAATGAGCGTGTTGATGTTTGATGTTGTCTTCAGGGCTACAACCTTTAGCTTGTTCTGCAGAAAAAACAAAAAACAAAAAAACTCTGAGGTTATTACTCTTAATTTAATTTAGTATCATAAACTATGAACCACATATTGTTTTTATTGATGAAATATGTCAAAGCAAATAACTAATAACGATTACTCCAGAATCACCCATAAAGTTTAGTACACCAATAGAAGAAAGAACATTTAGCATGTAACACTATGACACTGGCAGCATTTTAAAAATTCTTTTCTGCATATGTTACTGCATTAAATTCAAAATTTAATTAAACCACTTTAATATCAGTATATGTCAATGAAATTAAGATTATAATGTATGTTACAATTTGAATTATGTTATCTAAGTTATTATTACTTTGTTTCAAAGGAAACCTTTCAAACAAATACTTAAGTTTTCAGTTTTCTTATCACGTGATCCACGTGCTATGAAAAGCCCAACTTAGTAGCACTTCACTCTTACCCACACAAGTTGGTAATGTAGATGAGTGTATAGACTTATTTGTTTCCATTTGAACTACCGACATGTAAGATGCAAAGTCTTACACATGCATTTACTAGAAAACAGAAATACATTTTGTCATCCCTTGATGGGTGCCATGACCACCCTGTATACTTTGCCATGAGATTTACAGCATGCATGTAGTTAGTTGACACAAGTGTGTATAGTCATTAGAAAGAGCTCAGTTTACACTATACTCCACCAACAGCTTAATCTGAAATTGGCATGCAGTTTTCCTCACAGAGTAAACGTAACTGCCATTGGTATTGTTGTCTGCTTGATCAAATATAGACCTTCCAGTGGTTTCTTACCTAAATATGCTACAGTTAGAGAGATAGTTAAGTTGCATTTAGGTCATACTTTTACATTTTAATTAATTATGTATTATTATTATTTTAAAAATCCCATAAAATTCAAAGGTTGCATACAATTTTTTGCTCTGCTATTAGAAATTTAAATTATCCTTTATAATATCAACTAATGAAGATCTCTCCTTGAAGTTGAAGCTATCTCAGTTAACTTTTTAAGTACCATAAACAGTAATTTTCATCAAAAAATTAAATCTGATAAATAATTATATTAAATAAATAATTATGCCATAAAAGAACTGAATTTGATTTTTGAGTTATTACAAAGCAACAAACATTCATGTACAATACTTCTGTATATACTGTAATTTGATCGATAAAATACAGATAGATATATACACACACAAATTTACATAAAAAATTTATTATGCAAGTGACAAAATCTACAATGATAAATCTTAGCTAGTAAAAATGACAACTCAAGTTTAATCATACTATGTAACAAAAAGAAGCATAATCCCTCCTTCTCCTCTTTTTTAGTTCTTTTTACAATTGATGCATTCTTAAACTATTTTAGATTTCTATTTTAACTAAACTATACTTGTTTCACATTTTAAAAACTATGTAATAATAATAATTTGTCTATTTTCTCCAGGTGTCAACTGCTATGCTGAATTATACAACTTTAACTATTTCTAAAAACTTTGTTTTCTTCTTAATTACAATAATATCAGTTTATTTTAATTAAGATCTTGACTTTTACCTTTGTGCAATTAACCATAAGTGAGATGGTTCAGGAATTGTTTTTTTAAAAGTCAATTGATGTTGATTAAAATAATCCATTTTTACTTGATAATGTCAATCTGACAAAATGTTTTAAGATTAATTTTCTATTTAGATTTTCAGCTGCAAAAAAAATGTAATTTGTCCAAGAAAGGTGATTTTAATTAGAACATTAGTATTCCTGGTGCTTTGGTCTGGGTATTACACTGTATTTGAATCTGTAATGAAACCATATCTTATCAATTCCCTCACAGTGCCTTTGAAGCTAACTGATTAAATCACATGTAATATACAACTTAGACAGGTCAAAGTTTTTAATACCTCATTCATTCAATGCCTCAAATAATGCCATTTTTTATATATACCTACAGTTAAGTATGAGCACTCCATTAGATATAAATAGTAAATGAGAAAGAAACATTTTTACAATGTTTTTTTATTTACTAAAAGAACTACTTTTCTTAGCTCTAACAAACAGCTGTAAATAATAGTTTATGACTACAGTAACATATAATTTTTCTCACTTAACAACATATTCAAGTCTCATTATTTACTCTACAATATACTAACATTACATCAAGTCCAACACAACTTCTTACCTCTTCTGTCTTTAATTCCTCCCCTTTCTTTCCTTGCAATGCTGCCCTTAGTTTTTTTATATAACCTTGTATTCCTCGAGCCAAGTACTGCAATCTGAAAAGACATAAGACCTGATTTTAAAACCACCTTGTATTGCAAGTTATGATCAAAATTCAAAGACATTTCAGATCTCAATAAACTACAATGGACCTATACTATCAAAATGCAATGTATTTGCTGCAAAACTTTTATTATGCCTATACAGCTACTCTTATTGTGTTACAAGTTTCTAGATTACAATAGTTTCCCATTATATATTTGATATGAAACTTCTTATTCTGTTTATCATAAATGAGTCATAAATATATATTCTTCATCCTTTTGCATGCAAAGTTAAGAAAAGGAATACTGCTGGATACAAATACATTGCAGAATATTAAAAACACGACATCACTAATACGAACTTGAAATTTTTACTTGTGTTAAAAACTCGAGATTAACCAAATTATTTACCACATAACAAGATGACTACTTTAAAAATGTGCTCAATTATTTTCAAAACTTCTTCTGAATAAGTATAGATTAACATAAAAAAATTACAGAGAAAAGTTATGAACTCAGTTCAGTCATAAACATCTATACATAAAACTTCTGGATGAAATAAAAAAAAACTTTGCAAAAAATATTATAAAAAAAAATCTGATGGGTGAATCGAGGACCTTTCTGAATAGCCTGTTTTTGGAGTAACTGCAAATGAACAACAAAATGCAGCTCTGGTGTGAATCAACTTCTAAGCCTGTTAAAATTGTAGTTTTTTAACTAATTATAAGTTTAGATTCAGAGAATAATTGTCAACACCTTTTACTTAATCCTGGCAAGTAAATACCAAGCAATCACTGTAAATTAGAAAATAGCATCATTATTATCTTATCTTTAGTACTCTATTATATTGCTAGTTTATAAGTAATATTTTGCCAAAGTAGAATTATTTAAATATTTTATACTTTCCTGAAACAAATATATCTCAATATAAGTAACAAAGAACATTATTCTGTACACTAACAAAGACATGATTTAGTCGATGAAAAAGAAATTCTGAGCTAAGAAAGACAATTTTATTAGAACAGGTGTTTCAGGAAGATTATATTATATAAAATTGTAAATGAAGCAAGAGGATATATTTCAATGACATGTACTATTCTCAGCATCAGCAAGTCTTTTTCTTTCTTTCTTCCGTATCATAGATAAAAACATAGTTCATGATGAAACTTAGCTGAATGGATGGCAACTGCCTGTCATAGAAACACAAGTGTAGAGAACAACGTTTCGAAAGTCTGAAGATGAAAGGAGGAAAACTTTTGAAATG